ACACTCCTGTTGGCTTCAACAAGAGCTGGATCAGAGGTCTAAACAGCAATTCTTTTATTTCAAGAAATCAGATAAGAGGCACGTCAGAAAAATACTATCTACACAAAGATCAAGACCATTTAAGAATAAAATCTTGTTTACCCATTTTAGATTTTCCAAATAAAAGTAAGCTGCAAATGTATTTTATTGTTACGCAGGTCACAATCACAAGAGGCTGATCAAATGTGAGCAGTATAAACAACTATTTTTAATTTATTAATTTCTACTTCCTCTTTTTACACAGTATGAAACTCACATTCATTGTTTGATCTATGCAGTACCCTTTTGACACGACATTCGTGAGATAAAGGCAAGCATTTTATTAAGCTGCATAAGAAGTTAGGATTTCAAAACAACTCCAGGCTGTGACACTGCAGCCTAACTGCACAGTACCGACCAAAAGTCATAAAAGTAAATGGATGTAGGAAAGATGCTGCATTTCCCCTCCCCAGTAGCTATCGGACTTCTCAAAGATTATTTTTCTTCCTCCATCCCTGAGTATTTTAGAAGTGGCACCAATCAACCAGTTCAGGTATTCTGTAGATTTCAAGTCTGAAGACTGACATCAAACAGCGGTGCTAGATTTCTCTTGTGCGTGCTACGGTTCCAGTGTCAGTGACTACTGGAAAGGTGCAATGGAGCAATGGAGCACTGCTTACCAGAAACCTACAGCCTCTGCAGGCCCCATCTTTGCCAGGAATGAGCTGAGCCAGAACACAAGCACTGGATCACACTTGGACTGCCTTTGCCTTGTTCATCTTCTGTTTTCCAGAAACATTAATAACTAAAATAGGGACATCAGGGTGACCATAACAAGTTGCAAAATAATGATTTAAGCAGCTGGGCCAGGGTGGATTTCCATAGTGAACCGCTGGGACAAAGCCTCTCTTAATGTGGCAAGAGGTGATGGTGTTCATGGTAACAAATAAGCTGGGACTTCAGGCTATATGACAGAGCAGAAATAATTGAAAGTTATTAAATACCACTTCAGCCTCGTTATGCTCTTAGTGCCCCGAAGACTCCAATTTTCCAAACAGAAACTTCAGACCTTGTTGGGATGTATATGCGTGTATAGTACTTGGATTTTAGAAACGTGGCCCCCTGAAACTGCAGCCAGTAGGTGTGTTAGCGTGGAGTAAGCTCCTGGAGATTTTAATCCTGCTGTTTAGCAACTGTTCTTACATCCTCCCTCTGGTACGGTATCTCTTTAGTACATACAGCACTGACTGACCACAAAACCATCAGTTTAAAAACTTCAAACTGAAAATGGAATTAGGATGATGGGCAGAAGCTCCTTTCTATCTTTCTTTCTATTCCCTGCCTAGCAGACACTGGGTCAGCATCTGAACCAGCACTCTGTGAGTATGTTTTCCAGCACTCCACTCCAGTTCAATCCTGGCTGCAATTTAACAGACTGACAGGGAAATTCTTAAGAGGTAGAAAGGTCAAAAATAGAGAAGTTACTTAAGAAGCCGTTCAAAGACTATTTTAGCAGCAACACTACTACCTGTACATGGCTTCTGAGTGCACAAGTATTGTTGAGCTTACTTATGAACTTTCCCGTATAGAGCAAAAGCTAAATACAAATGTATGCGCTTTATCTTTGTAAACCATACATGGGGAACAGTATTTAACCATAATCCTAAGCAATATTCCCTAATAACAATGTTTTTTGGCATTTGGTGCATTTTCTACGCAACAAAAACATCACAGTATTAGGATGAATTAACAGTGACATGCCACCACCACTCCGTGCTGCTTCAAATGGTATTCTAAAAATATTCATCGCTAGCTTTCCTCTTCCAAACTTCATTAAAGGAAGGAATTTTTCTTCTAGCAATTTGAGACAGATTAAATTCTCATACCTTTCAGACTGATATTTTTCTGAAGACGCTCAATGATTAGAAATATCCATGATGAATTAAAAGGCCTACGCAAGCTTCTCATGTAGCTCTTTCTCCAATAATCCCCTGACACACAGCAACCTTGCTACTGCCATCAAAATCATCTCATGAATATTCATATATCGCATTCTGGGGTCATCTTTGCAATTTCTCTCATACATTCTCTGTGCACTAGAACAAAGCTCACAAAAGTTAAAATCACCTAAGTCACTTAAGTCCTATTACTTACATTATCCTCCATCAAGGAAAAACTACTAGAGCTTAAAGTCTTATGACTGAGAACAGAATCTGGTTGTGAGAGCAAGAGAAACCAAATGCACATCCGTGTCATATTTGCACTTTCGGCACTTTGGGGTACAGGATGCTGATCCCAGCAATTCTAAATCAAAACAGCTATAATCTTCATTTTCTATTGTCCTCTATATAGTTGGGTTTAAAAACCATTAAGCAGCTGCAGATTGAGAACCATTCCTTAACAAACTTAAAATAAGCACTTATTTTACCAAGTTCTAGTTTAGTAGCAAATTACTTCACAGTCTTCATTCCACAGCCAATGCCGGGACACTAAAATAATTTTTGCGGAAGAGACCAGCAAGTTTAAATTTCTTTCTAAGCAGAAAAACATCTCAACAAGCTCATTTTTATGAACGTCCCACATAAGAGTATCTCAAAAATTCAGGATGATAAAACATAGCTTTCCAAAACCATGCTTTATTTTCCTTAAAGTAACACTGCAGAGGACACCACCCTATACCCGACTGGTGATCAAGACCACTTTAAAGCAAGCGCAGTTCAGTGGTCTTCAGTCTTTCAAAACAGGAGACAACCTGGTTCTCCACAGACATTTACTGTGACCATTTGTTTAAATCAATCCCAAAACACCGCAGAAGCAAGCGTGACAATTTCAGAGTTACAAAAAACCCGTTACCTGCAAACAGAGGTTAACAACAACATCAAGATTGCATTGTCAAAAAGCACGCTGAACAGTGCCCAAGCACCACGAACCATCAGTTACACTTCTTTTTACGCTTGAAAAACTCATACCTGGGTACACTGGCTGTTAAGCTTTGTTCACTTGATGACGATGATGATGACGATGATGATGCAGGTCTCTGATCCGTTTGCATTCCCACAGTCTCTGTTGAACCAGTCTGAGGTTTTTCACCTTTTTCTTTTGTCTTTTTTTTTTCACTGTCACTTTCATCACTGCCTTCTCCTAAGATGTCATCCACCTGCCAAAGAGCAGAGAGTCAGTGTATCCTCTAGCAGGCTATGCTGTATCAATATTACAGAATTATTGGATCGCTCTTAAGTAATCACTAATATGCTTCGGCTTTCCTTGACCTTCTCCTTGAAAATGCAAATTAAACCCCAGTGTCTTCAGTTTCTGCAACAGCTCTAGCAACACTCTATTCGGAGTAAATATATTTAGTCTGTTTAACTTGAGATATACACACATAGATATACATACTCACATACACCATAGTCACATTTGAAGGTGTTTGCACTTTATAACAACATGAACAGCTGTAAACAAGAAACTATTATGAAAAAAGTGCTGTCATGAAATTAAAGGGATAGATGTTTTATACCATCGTAACATAATAACACATACTTTATAATAGTATAAAATACATGTGGTATAACATAGTGAGTCACTTTGGCAAGGCATTTTAAAATCTCTAGCTAAGAGGTATTCTTATATACCTATCAAGGAGTACCTTGGTAGACATCTAACTTTAAAGACGTGTATTCCTAAATAACACAGTATGAAAGGAACAGAACATACAGAACCCCATCCTAACCAGATTGTCGGCTTATGCTACTTAATAAAGGCAAATCTACCAAAACATTTATACATTTCATTAAATAATTGTTTGGCCTTTGCTTCTGAAAAGTTAGCATGGGATTTGCTACACCTTGAAGAACATGCTAATTTGCTCTGACAGCTCTGGAACTGCTGAAACCATCATTAAAAGCAAATCATACTCAAGCTACCCTGCTGAGCTTCAAAAGCTTATATTCTCTTTGAGTCAGCATTCAGAAAGAGATGAAAACATGAGAAAACACAGGTGAGGATCCCACAGCCTCTCTATTTGTGTGAATGGCAGAGGACATGGAAACACGCTATGTGGGAGTATTTCGCTACTGATATTTAAGAATTTTTCCTAAAAGCAGCTTATCTCAGCATAAGTTAAGATATGCTTCACAGCTACTCTCTGTTCTCACTAATGCCACACCTGCTTTATCAAGAAGAAAAACTCATATATGAACATGGATCAGAACACTTACACTGCTTATCCACTGCTTTTGGAGCTTTCTTCTAGCTTTTGGGACTATCAGTGTAAGAAAGTCACTTCTATCACAAATGCATATTCACAAATGCACCTCTAATTTCTTTGTTTACCTTGATACGCACAGAAGGAGAGTCAAAGCTACCCTCCGTTTATCAATCTAAATGCAGAAGATCTATAACTTGCCAGTACTCTACTGGAAATATGGTAGAGGTAAATGAAATTCCTCTTTCAGAGAAAGCAAACTCAAGGGAGAGCTTGCAAGTAAGGAGGGAGAGGAAACAGAAAATACAGAAGTTTGCTAACAGTCAAAGACCTATTCCATTTCTTTTTCTGATGTCCTAAGAGAGAGGAGAGGCCTATGACCCAAGATGATGTAGGTGCTCCGTAGGGCAAGGGATGTAGGTGACTCCCATCACACTCCTGTTGACTTCAGAAAGATGACGTATGTGGCATTTGTCTTCAGTCCTCTGCTAAACAGATCAATTTGGGGGATTTATTACCTTTCTACAAGTCCCTCTCAACTATTCCTGTTTGAGAGTAGTAGCAAATAATTTTTCTTCCTTATGTTGTGCTACTTCCCACTGAGGATTCTGCTAATCTATATTGTTTCAAAAGAGCAGTGACATAGAAGGAATAATAATAACAATAAAAAAGGTAAGTAGTACTTCAAAACACTGTAAAATAATAACTTCAAGGAGACTTGACAGCATAAGGGAAAGCAAGGACATTTTGTTACGAAGCATACTTGTGAAAAAATTTCTTTAAATATGTAATTGTTTCAGAGTTCTACGATTCAAACTTTAAAACTGGATTTAAAAATCCAGGCTATGCGATACTTGGATGGAATGACTTCTACAGAAAATGAAAAGTTACTTGCAAGCTGCTTAGATCTACAATTTAAGCTGTTTTTCCATTGGCCCTTGTCTTGGTACATTTTTACTGCCTGAAACATTGCTGTCTAATGCCCAGCCCTCTCACTGTGAAAGCTGTAAAGAAACCATAGTAAGAAAGGAACCACATACCAGCTCCGTGCATCTAAACACAGATGACAGTTTCAGGTAGAACTGTAGGGATTGCTGTGTCAAATCACACCACATTAGTCCAAAAATGCTTTTCCTGTGACCAGAAGTTGTCACATGCAGGGAAAGTAAGAATCGTGGAATGCAATCCAAGGCCAGGGGGACTGAAACGACAGCTAGAGATAAGCCAACAGTGAACCTGGCAGAAGCGTGGGAAGTCCAGGGGGCAGGGATTTTTTGGTGCGTAGACAACACACAGAAAGCCTCAAGTGTTTAAGCACTACAGTTTGGGATAGGACAGCAGGCACACTGTGCCTACACCTTTGCTAGAAGATACTCACAAGCCAACACAGACAGCAACTGACAGTCACACAGCAGCACAGAACTACAGCGCTGACAACTCCTTTCCAGCAAGTCCGACATTTAAAATTACATTCCTTCACTCCAAAAGCAATGTTCTTCCAGAAAGTCATGTGTTTAAAACTAGATTCTCACTACAAAGTGTGTTAAGGTTTTCAAAGGACAAAGTCAGGTTGCTAGACATTCAGCATTACAGATGTCTCTCTCAACTGAACTTTTACAGCCTTATAGTCTCCTTTGCGGGAACAGTTCTGACAGACTAGCAGTCTCGTTATTGCCATGGCTTTTTTCTTTCATTCTGCACAAAGATGACATTATTCTTTTGAAGTCTGGAATGCCATTTAATATTAGAATCACTAAGTTAGTTGTACACAGACATGCCCCATTTCTGTGGAAGGGCATCTAAAATGCATGTATAAACCACAGAAATACAGCAAATCTTGAAAATTGTTGCATATGAAAACAATGAATGTGGGAAGGTCCTTACAAACCACTTCAACTAGAAAGGCACCCAAAATACGTATTCCTGCCTAACTATTGGCTAAATTGCAAACTGTGCTGAAAAATACAAAGATTACCATCTTCATCTTCCAGAATTCTCAAAAGAAATGGAAAACGAACTATGTTTTCATTGAAGCGGCGAGATTCAAGGCCTTCACTTGAAAAAATTAGTAGGTAAAAAGAGCAGCAACTATGTATCTAGACACATCACTAACTTCAAACAAATAAAAAAGCTTAAAGAACAGAGGAAACTTTCAATCTGGTTCAGACTAAGACAGATACTGATACTGTACCAACTACAGCTTTGGCTTATCACCTCAGCTTTTATACAATTAACACAAATGGAACACCTAACACTTCAGAAGAAAATGCCAGCTGATACCAAGTCTTACTGCTAAGATGCAATGAGGGGATGCTTACTGCTTGAACACTACCATAGCAGCTGTCTCTAAAATACTTAAAAGACTTTTATAACATAGCAAGAATGATTAAAACTGAAAAAGGATTTATCCCTTGAAGACAACAAACTGTTCCATTTAGCAAGAGAATGAAGTCTGACAATTCTTTTAAATATCCAATTATAAACGCCAGAAAAAGTCCTCAGCTGACAAAACTATTTTATTTCCCATTTAGAGGGAACATAGCATATGTGCATGCAAAGTATAAAGACCAAAGAACAATGAGATTTTAAGTCTCATATTATGAGCTGTAAAGTAGCTAAACCTTTGTTAAAAAGAAGCCAAAACCTTCTGCAGTATTAACAAACCAGGTCAGCTGGAAAATGTTCTCACTCCAGAAATCGAGTTTACACATTCAAAATGAATCAAGACGCTGAGAAAACACCAAGAAAGAAACTGTCACGAGCAATCTCAATTTGCTGGAAAGAGAATTTACAGGCAACATTTTGGGGCAGCATTATGGATGTGAGACACCTATCGTGATGCTTTACATTTTTTTTGAAGAAGCAATTACATATGCAGTAATGTAATCTACATATTAAAAAAAAGGAGCTGTGAATAAACCTTAATTCTTGTTTTTAAACTAGCAAGTATTTAAAAATTCAAGTTTTAATAGAACTGAGAAACCAACTGCCTAGACAGCAACAGAACACCACGTGTAACCACTGAAATGATCTCTCCTAAAAGCGGTAGAATGCTCTGAACCAATGCTTTACTGGAACTACAGAAAATTCTACAAAAAAGAATAGGTTTGATAGACAGCTGTTCATTTTGTGCTCCAGTTTTGCATGGAAGATACACATGTTGCCCCCCTCCCAGTCTTTCCCAAAAGATGAGGTATACTTCTGCTCCAACTTATTTTTTAAGACAGGGAAAACCAGAAAAACCCCAAGTATTTATGACAAGTTCTTTCAGTTTGTTTCTACCGAGACAAAAACAACCGTTCATTGTTACCCACGGACACAACTGAACCGGTACTGACAGTGAGCACAGATAAAAGTGAACGTCATTTCAGCATAAAGCCTGTCTCTCCTAAGCACGGATCGGAGATTCTGTTGAAAACAGCGGGTCTTCAGAAGAACTTGCACATACTGACATGATCTGCCACCTGAAGGTGCCAAAAGGTTTCAAGACGTACCTCGTATTCCCCCCATGGCATACAAATCCATAAAAATAACTGAAATGAAAATAAGACACCCAAGTACACCAGTAATTGCAGGTATCTCCACGTAAACAAGCTATTACCTCAACATACTCTTTACAAATACTTTAAAGAGCTGCCGTGTTCGTGCCGGGGACCATGATGCCCTCTTAGTAGTTACTAAATAGAAAAGCTAGCAAATTACCACCTCTATCCAATTAGTGGGGAAATGGATGCTCTGCAAACAGATCCCAGACTAAAAAAAGCAAATACATCTTTCACGTGTCAATTCAAATTTCGCTGCGCTGCATTTCTTTCAGTGCCCCTTCAATTAGCTGAGAGAGTGACTCACTGTTTCTGGTCAGGATGATACACCTACATCGTAAATGTGCTCAATACGGATTTCTTTTTAACACATCTCTCAAACTGTATGTGTACAGTTACTCGAAACATCAC